AAAATTTAGGTTTAACTGTGGTTGAAATTAATTATATATTTGGATGAATTTGGGGATGAAATTGGAACATTCAAAAGTTTGAGACTAATTTAGAAAGAGGGTCATAGTTTAGGGATGGAATTAGAACATTTAAAATTTTAAGGGCTAATTTAAAATGAGAGTTATAATTTGGGGACAAAATGTTGCAATTAACTAATTGAACAATGAAAATTTGTAGTAATAATTTATGTTTATAACTTCTAAGGGTTAAATCGATAAAATTTGTAAACATAGAGGACTTAAAAACTATTTACCTTTTTTATCATTTGTTATGTCAATAGTTAACGGTAGTCAGATTGGAATCTCTCATTGATTAGTGCTTACGGATGTAAATTTTTAACGATGATTAAATATAATAAAAATAATAGTTTGAAGACCAAAACAAAAAAAAAATTATGATTATTCTTGTAATTTAGCCAAAAGATTTCCCTCTCAAAATCTCACATATAAAACCCCATACCCCTTTCTTCTCCCTCTCACCCTGTAGTTCTTCAATCACTTAGATTCCACCATCTTTGTTCTTGGATATTTCGTGTTTCGTATTCTGTGTTCAGTTTCAAGGTTTCAACAATGGCGGTTTCTGGGTTTGAAGGTTTGAGAAGCGCTTAGAGCTTCATTTCTTCCATGATGCTCCGTTGAATAATATGGGTCTTAGGCTACTCGATTTTGAATCACTCCAACAAGTCCTCTTTGCAGTCCAATGCACCGTCGTCTCCGCCGTCGGCAACCATTTCTTTGATGCTTATGTCCTGTCAGAATCGAGGAGTTTCGTTTATCCGACTAAGATCATTCTCAAAACCTGTAGTACCAGTCAGCTTCTCAAATCGATTCCACCGTTGATTCATTTCGCGAATAAGCTTAATCTCACGTTATGCCAATGCCATTACACCAGAGGGAGCTTTATTTTCCCCATACCAATTTCAAAGAAGTGATTGACATGGAAGAAAACCTACCCAGCAATCTTGTTTTCACTGCCGCCGATAGAATCACCATTGCCGCCGGGAAAAGAGATGACGGAGTCGACGGGGGTTGACGACATAAACCCTGCTGCTTTCATTGATTCCTCCAATGATAATGAATCTGAAGAAAATTCTGATTTAGAGAAACAGTTGTCATTAGAAAAAGACAACGAAGTTTCTGGTGAATCAGACGAGTGAAAGAAGTGGAGCACTAGAGCGGAAAATCCTTAGTTTATTTCTATGCCACACGACTTGAATATCACGTTGTTTTGATCGCCCTCTCCAAACGTCCTCACTTTCGCTGAAATTTAGTATGATACCATCGGTATCTATAAAACCTCAATCGTCACCACTTGATAACTCAATCACTGGTCACCTTCATGTCGCAATCACCCTAAAACCTCAAAGAGTCGTTTGTCATTCACCTTTGCACCTCCTTAATCATCCTTTACAAATCACGATATTCTCATCTCTATTTGTTCGCCCCAATTGCAGTATGTCATCACTTTCGTTATCTGATATATTATGTCATCATTTTAGTGAAATGATATGTGATATGTCAATAATTAAGTACATGTGAAAATATCACGTCAGTAACATGTATTGATTATTAGTCAATTAACTTTTTTCATCCGATAAAGACTATTTTAATAAAAAAAAATTAAATTTTTTAAAAGTATTCTAAAAGAGAATAAAGATAAAAAATAACATTTTATATAAACACTGAGTTTAATTTTGTGATTACAACTTTTTAATAAAATGAACAATTACACCTTGAGTCTCTATTTTTATTTTCTAACATCTAAAAAATTAGCTGACCCTTATTCTCATATGTAATGGAATAAGGGGGAGGTAGGATAGTAGGCTGCCCCAAACACCAGGTTGAGAGCAGCTTCCCTGTGAGACCTCCGAATTATGAATTGCCCACCATGGGACTTGATCCCACGATCACAAGGTTAAGAGTAAAATATTAACATCTATTTTACCTTAATTTAACCAAATAATAATATTTAGTTTATAAAAAGTAAGGGTCTATTTGGTTCTAGAAAATATATGTTATTTTTATTTTCTTAGAAAATAGAAAATATTGAAGAAAACGTGTTTGGTTATAAAATTAGAAAATGATTTCTAGAAAATGAAAACAAAATAAGTAAAAATATGAAAACATAAAAAGATGTTTTTAGTATTTTCATTAAAGTTATTTTAGAAATTTGGAAAATAAGAAAACAAGAGATCTAGATTTTTAACTTAATTTACACGGGTTCAAATCTCTCTAACAATAATTTTTTTATTTAATGGTATCTAAAATCCTCAAACTTTTGCAAAAAAAATCAATATAGCCCATGAACTTTTTTTACACTCAATGTGATCTTTAAACTAATTTTTTTAATAATTTAATTTTATAATATTTTTATATTTAATGTATTGAATATTTTAATAATTGTTTATATTTTAAATTTAAATAATACTTTTATTTTTTTTTAAATAAATAAGTCCTCAAACTTTCTAAAAAATCAATTAGGCCTTGGAACTTAGTAAAAAGATTAATTAAAACTCATCTATCATATCATCTTCCATTGTGTACTAACACAACAACGTCGTGACTGTCATATCAACATTATAGATTATCATGTAAGCTTTGTGACATGTAAACGACGTAACAATTTGATTTTGTTGATCAAATGATTAAATAGATTTTTTCTTAGTTTAAGAGTCACATTGAGTGAAAAAAAGTTCAAGGGATATACTAATTTTTTTTCCAAAAATTTGAGGGCCTTCAATACCACTAAATATATTTGTTATTTTAATGACAATTTGTGTGCTCTTGTTTACAATAATTTTTTGTGTATTTTTTTAATTTAAATGATATCAAATATGTATTATCATTATATTCTTATTCTAATACATTTGGTATGAAAGTTTTTTATTATAAAATTTCTTATCAGCTTTATTGTTTTTTATTATAAAATTTCTTATCAACTTCATTGTTTTTTATTTATATAACTCACAAATTAAATTTATGTTATAAAAGTTTTCAATAATTATATTTTAATTTAGTTATTTAATAATTATTTATTAGTCTCTATTTTAAAAAATTATATATCAAATATATTTTCATTATTTTTAGTTTTAAATTTAAGTTTTCATTTATATTAATCAAACATATTTTATAATTTTTAAGGAACATAAAAAGAAAATTATTTTCTGAAAAATAAAAATATTTTCTAAAACTAAACCTACTCTATTTTTTTAGATAACTAAATTTAATTGATAAAAATTTGAGGGCCTTCAATACCACTAAGTATATTTGATATTTTTTTAATTTATTAATAAAAAATTATTAATAACAAAATTAATATTTTAAATAGTATTTCATCAAAAATATTAAAATAAAATTAATATTTTTTATTATATATTTTCTTAACCTTATATTAGATTATCTTCTTTGTTCTTGCTTTCCCGGGGTAAAGACAAAACTCATCCATGCACAGTTATCGATTCTCTCCCTGGAGAAAGTTGCAATCAATCCCATGTTTCGCCTCCGTTTTAGGTGTTTCCTTTTTATTTTTGTTTTCAGATTCTTCCTTTCACTGGTTCCTTGCTTTTCCCCCTCCAGTAACTGATCACACTCCGATGCTTGTTTTCTCTCAACAAATAATATTTTTTTTCAGAATTGAATTGGAAAGAGCATCGCTAAATCCTCACTGCGTTTGCTTCATCCATCCTTGTTTTAGAATTTCACTTATTTTCTTTTTGCTAAGTCGGGCTTATTCTCTTCCTCCTTTCTGCCACTCTCTTCCTTCTGCATTGTCGTTATAAAAATTATACTTCTTCTGCTTTCTTTTTTCTTGGGTTTCTGTTTATCTTTGGTAATTCATTTCCATTTTACTTCTCTGTAAAGCATGTTTTCTAACCAAATTTCCTATAAAAATACCCAAAATGTTAAATTTAACAAAAACCCATTTCTGCACTTTCACCTAAAGTTTGCATCCTTCCGTTGCTTCCATTTTATTAATTTTAGTTTCTTTTAGGCCTTCTGTCAAACTCTTGAACTGCACCTTTTGATTTTTTTTTTTTATAAAAATCATTCGTCTGTGTTCAACTTTGTGTTTTGAAATCATGGGATGTGTTCATGGAAAGTGTTGTACTAGATATATATCATCATCGGATGGCTATTCGGGTCACCATAGAGAAAAAGAAACCTCGCAAATGCAAACACATTCTTACACAAAGGTCATTGGACTTAGTTCCTGTTCCATCTTACAACTTTACTTTGCAGTGCTCAGCCTTAACACAGCATGGTTACTACCCATACACAGTTGAGGGGGAAAACCAAGATAGTGTCTGCATCGAAACACAAATCCAAGGTAACCCAAATGTTCATTTCTTCAGTGTCTTTGATGTACATGGTCAATACAGTACTCAATGTTCCAACTTTGTTAAGGATAGACTTTTAGAGATGCTATCTAGTGACTCTACACTGTTGGATGGTCCCTTAAAAGCGTATAATTCAGCATTTTTAGCTACAAATGCTGAGTTACATAATAGTGAGATTGATGATACTATGAGTGGTACGACAGAAATAACTGTGCTTGTTATTGGAGATACACTTTATGTTGCTAATGCGGTGATTCAAGAGCTGTGGTTGCTGTTAAGGATGGCGATCAAATTTTGGCTGAGGATTTATCTGAGGATCAAACACCATTTAGGAAAGATATGTATGGCAGGGTGAAGCTTTGTGGTGCCAGGGTCTTGAGTGTTGATCAAGTGGAAGGCCTTAAAGACCCGAATGTTCAAAATTGGGGTGATGAAGAAAGCCAAGGCGGTAATCCTCCGAGGCTGTGGGTTCCTAATGAGATGTATCCTGGGACTGCATTTACTAGGAGTGTAGGTGATAGTACAGCAGAGACGATTGGTGTGATTGCTGCCCCCGAGATGTATCTTTAGAACATTGCTTGCATTTGCCTTCTCAATGGTTGATATTCATCATCTACAGGTTGCGAGGAATAGGAGAGTATGACATTTTTCGAGGAAAGGGTGTACAATTCTGCCGGTTGTGGGATGCCGCTTTACAAGTCCACCGCCAAATTTAACTCTGGCTGTGGTTGGCCTGCATTCTTCGAGGGTATCCCTGGAGCCATAAACCGAGCCGCGAGTCTTTCTCATCCCCGGATCCCCTTCTTTTCCGGTGTCATAGTAGTGTAAAATGCCTTTGATCAGATCACAAACATGCAAGCAATGCTTTTGCAGCCTGATCCTGATGGGAGAAGAACTGAGATTACATGTGCAGCTTGTGGGGGGCACTTGGGTCATGTTTTTAATGGGGACGGGTTCTCAGTGCCGACCGACGAACATCACTGCATCAACAGCGTTTCGATCCAGTTCGTTCAGGCTAATGCAGCTCCTTCAACGTGAGGGGAAGAGTTATTGGATACAAATATAAAAGCTATCGGATGCAGATCTATATTTGACATTCATCTCAAATATGAATAATATAGCATACAATAAATGATTTGAAGGTTAGTTGTAACCTACAACATGTGTACATGGATACTAAGATACCACCTTTCCAAGGCTCTAAATACATAGCTAAAAACATAATATCATGTACCAATATTCAAAACCCGAGTTCGAGTAACATAGAAATCAAATTGGCATCGGTAAATTTTCAATCTGTAATATCAAAGCAGAGCTTAGCCTCATCCCATGGGCCATTAATCTCAAACTTGTATTCTTGAATCCTTATAAGCCAGTAAGGGCAAACCACATTAACAAAGATCAAAATTCCCACCAATAACACAGAAAGCAGGCAATGAAGGCTATAGACAAATGTTAAAGTGACAGCCATTAACCCCAAAGAAAACAAAAGGTGCAACCTGAAAGAGTACTTCTTGATGCAGTAGGTGACCAGTGGTGCAAACAGGAAGATTTGCAAGGAGAATAGCATGGTTGCGAAAACATGTACTCGGGAGGGTAATCGGGACGCTATGAAAACCGAAGCGACGATGGACGCGTTCAAGGAAATACAGCTGGTTAAGTTAGGATTCTTGAGAGCCCCTGAAGGTCTTATCGTGGAGCCGGAGTAGTCGTGTAGGAAAAGATGGAGCAAGAGAAGTGAAATGGTTACGGCCCATATGGAATCCGAGCTGATGGACCTTGTTAATGTTTGGTATATCGGAGCTAACACGAACAATCCAGTTGTGAAGAAGGAAACATTAAGGACATAGTTCAAAAGACGTTTGAGGGAGAGCATCTCTTCGGTTAATACGAGGATTATGAAACCGGAACCAAGAAGGCTTACATCAAGAAGCAAGAGGGAGTTTTCGTTGAGGGTTGACCTAAGGGTGTAGATCCATACCAAGACTACAAGAGCAACGATGCATAGATATTGGGAGATGGAAACCGAATCTTGCATCACCTTAAGCATATTCCGTTTAACGACATTAGCGTTCATGACCATGTCTTCCAGGAAAGTTTCATCCGTGTGATTGTCGTCGTAACCAGGTTGCATCCCTCCGTATGCAACTTTTCTCCATCTGGAAGGAGACGGGGAAGAATCAACACCGAAATTCATATCCATCTCAAGGCCACTGCTGTCGGAGAAATACAACTTCCTGCTTCATCTTCTAGGGCAACCTTTGCTTCCACTCCATTAGAATTTTAAGAAACCAAACCTAAGATTGAAGAATTAGCTTGAAAAGCAAACAAAGAAAGTGTCCAAATATTGCAGCAATTAATATCTGAATTTAATAAAAAACTTTTCTAAGTTAACAGCTCAAATGATTGAATTATCTATCAACTATGAAGCAGACAGAATCCTTAACTTTGTATCCGACACCGGGGTCAAACACTTTTTCAAACACAGATATAAAGATATGAACTTCCAAGACTCCCTCCAAATAAGAAAACTTGGTAGAAATTGGACACAAACATATATTCGAAACATAGTTTCAAGCACATCTCATCAGATGAATGGACCCATGTTCATTTCATCAGTTTCCCTGATCTGGAGCAATCCAATTTATCCAAAGAACATATTCAAATTCATCAATCAAAGAGAGACAGTGGTTCCTGTGCAGAAATCCACAGTACTAAATAAAATCCATATTTAATTCACCAATATTGATTCAGTGGAAGAACCCAAATAAACAATCATCAATTAAATCAACTTTTCGACATGGGATTCTCTAAAAAAATAGAAATCTAATTCACAAAATGGAGAAGAACCCAGAAATCATAAACATGTACCCCGACTAAATCGAAACAACTTAACGCCTATGTGTTTAGACTTAATAATTAGCAACGAAAGCGAAAGGAATTGTACCTTAAGATTCCGAGATGGAAAAACGTTGGATAAGAGAAATGGCGAAGGCCAGGGAGGGAAATTAAGTGAGATTTTTCTGATTTTGGAAAGAAGGTCACAAGGAGGAAAGCTAAAAAACACTCGAATTTAGGATAAAACTGAAAATATGATAAAAATTATAATATTTTGGGTGAAATTCTTTATTTATATTATATTTTAAGAAAGAAACAAAAATTAGTTAATTTAGTACTCATTCAATAATTAATAAATTTTTGGTTTAAATTTTTTAGAAAGTAATGAGACTTCTATAGCTTAATAAAAAACATTTTTTAGTTAAATGTATAATCTTTCATTTTTTTTTTATTTTTTTATTAATCAAATATTTAAACTCTCAATTATTTAATATTAAATTAACAAGATTGGCAAAGAAATGAAGGAAGAAAAACAATTATGAACAAATTATCAAGTGATCTAACTCCTATCAACAAAACTAAATCGTCGATCGAAGAATGATGTCAGAGATAACAGATACGGAAACAACAATAAATATAGAGTTTGGGTTAAATAAGACAAAAGTGCTTTTTTAATGAAATAAGAGAACAACAATAGTTAAGTAGCAGCTTCCATATAACAAACAGTGCAATCCCGCTGCAGGAGAGAAGCAACTTCCAAAGGTGGATCATATTTGCAAAACCTCCTATTTCGGTCATTTTAGATAATTTGTCAGCAATCTAGTTAGTGAGTGGTGACCCCGTTAGACGCATGTTTTATTCACGGTTGAGTAATTCTGTTAAGAAGGGTGAAACAAGTGATAGTATGCTGTAACATTCGAATAACTTCCAAACTATTCACTTCCAGCATCACTTGTCTCTCGTCAAGGTTCCAAGCATGGGGTTAGACCTTCATGAAAGCTCCGAAGCTCCGCTTCAACAACAGTGTATATCCCAATAGCTTTATAGAAGCCAAGAATCCATCCACCATTAAATGAGCGAAAAAGTCCCCCACAAGAAGCGAAACCGTCAGCTCTGCTACCAGAACCATTGGTATTAACCTTACACCACTTTAAGGGAGATGCAGACTATCAAATAATCACATTGCTCACTCCATTATGTGGTTGCACTGAAGACATCGCTAATTCAATGGTAAAAAAATTTTAAATGTCAATTTAATAATTAAATATTTTTATTAATATATCACAAAATATTTAATAATTTTATGATTATAATATAATTAATTAAATTCTTTTTTTAAAATTAGTGACTAAAATAAGATCAATTAAAAATAAAAGTGACCATGAGTGCACTTTACCCAATATTTATTAATATTTATGATTATATGGTAATTTAACCATTCAATTTGTTGACTGGTGGCGTTCTTATCGTTCGAAGATCCAAAGCCAAAGGTTTGAAGTGGGATCCATTTACAAAAGGCTGGTGGAGTTTGCATTGCAGCCAGGTCTCCTATCTGTCTGCTCGCGGCGCTTGTATTCCTTTCGGGTTTTTTTTCTCGGGAAACAAACAGAAAACCAACGATAAAGTAACTAAGAGCTGAATCTCATGGCCTCCTCTTTGGTTTCTCCTTCCCCAGCTTCTTCCTTCATCAGGAACAAGGTCAGTGCTTTAGATTACCCATCTTCAAGATTTTGATTGGTGTAGATTCTTTTGACTAATAAACAAACCCCCTTTTTTATGGCCAGAAATATTTGGGCTTCTCTGCTTTTCCCTCTACATCTCAAATATCCATTCAGAAATGCAAAAAACAAGTTTCGAAGAAAATCGTCTCGCTCATGGCACCCCAGCAATCTGAGCGTAAACCAGCCACCACTGGATCTGTTAGTTCCTTTTTTTTTTATTGATTTGTTAATGGATTTTGTTGTGTTTTTTAAAAAATAAAAAATTGGGTTGTTTTTCTCAGGTTAAGACTGGAATGACAATGACAGAGAAGATTTTCGCAAGAGCCTCTGAGAAACCACAGTTGAGTCCAGGTGATAATGTTTGGGTTAATGTTGATGTTTTGATGACACATGATGTTTGTGGTCCTGGTTCTATCGGTATCTTCAAGAAAGAATTTGGTGAAATTGCAAAGGTATTCAATTCTTATGCGTTCTTAGTTTATTTTTCTCTTCTCTTAGGTTAGTCTTGTGCATAATTGAGCTCTTGCTGATGATTGTTAGAATGCAATGGATTTTTTTTATTTCATCAAGTAACAATAGCTATGTAACTGCTGTAAGCTTTGTTGTTGTGCAACGGATGGGGTGGTGATCGTAGCCTCATAGGTGGTTCACCCTTTCTTATTTGGACTTAGAGCCGTCGGCCACGGTGGCATAAGACCTGTGTAAGGAGGGTATTTTGAGAGCAAAATACAGGTGTTCAATGGAGGGGGGAAGAAAGTTCCTAGAGAGACTTGCTGAGAAAGGAAAAGCAAACCTTTTTTGTTAGAGAAGGAAAAGTTACCCTCTTACCCCTAAATCCATGAGATGGCAGCCATAGTGTGCCTGCTTATGGTTGTTGATGAGGGTTCAGATAGGTCTCACAAATATTATTTGTTATTTATTTGTTAGGGATATAACAAGCTTCTTCTCAATTGAATATTTTTATATATTGGAAAATGATTTTGGTGATTTCTCTTGTTTCATGTTTTCCAACAAAATACTTTAAATCTCCTTTATCTTTGTAACCTAACTATTACATTGGTAGACTGTAGAGTGTTCAGCCCTGTGCATGTCTTTACTCCTGTTCACAGCTGTCTATTTGCAGTTGCTGAATTCATTAACTGTGTACCATCATTTTGGTATTGAAGGTTTGGGATCGTGAAAAGGTTGTTATTATACCCGACCATTACATATTCACAAGTGATGAACGTGCGAATCGCAATGTGGATATTTTGAGGGATTTTTGCATGGAGCAAAATATCAAGTATTTTTATGATATAAAAGATCTTGGTAATTTTAAGGTATGGCACTCTTTATCTTGTCATTCATTTTTGGTCCAGTATTCTGAGGAGCGGGGGTATATTCTCTGTTTATTGACATAGAGCTGAATCCTAATTCACAACATTGCAGGCAAACCCTGATTACAAAGGAGTATGCCATATTGCACTTGCCCAAGAGGGTCACTGCAGGCCTGGAGAGGTATCAATTCTTTACCGTAAAATATTGAATTGTAGAACTTTCATCCATCTGTTTCGCTCTCGAGCTGCTGTTATGTTCTTTGTCTCTGCCTTCAGGTTTTGTTAGGGACAGATTCTCACACCTGTACTGCTGGAGCATTTGGTCAATTTGCTACTGGAATTGGAAATACAGATGCAGGCTTTGTATTAGGCACTGGGAAGCTTCTGCTCAAGGTTTGTTAATTATTCTTTTTTGTTTTTGAACAGACATTTAGGATTTTTATAAGTTGAAGTCTGGTACTTACAAAATTGCGATTAATTTAGTGGTATATTCTTACATGTAATCGGTTGCATTTTCAATTGTAGGTTCCACCAACTTTGAGATTTGTGATGGATGGTGAAATGCCTCCTTATCTGCTTGCAAAGGATTTGATTTTGCAGGTAACATCATACACTTTTAGGCAATTATTCCATTTTGATAAGCTTTAATTCATAATTATAATCCTGTGGGGATATTACTCTTGTTCATGTTGATCTCTGTTTTATATAATGGTTGGTCATATATGTTTTTTCTAAAAACCGTTCCTGTTGGGCCAGATCATTGGTGAAATATCTGTAGCCGGCGCAACATATAAATCCATGGAGTTTGTTGGAACAACTGTTGAAAGTCTAAATGTAAGTGAACCTGAAATGTTGCAATAACTTTTAGCGTTAGGTCCTTAGAAAAACATTTGACCTAGTTTGATTTCTTGCCGGAAAAAATCATGATTTTGGTATTCTGATTACTTGTATTTGGTAGATGGAAGAACGGATGACCTTATGCAATATGGTTGTTGAAGCCGGGGGAAAGAATGGAGTCGTTCCCGCTGATAGTACTACATTTAAGTACCTTGAGGTGAGGGTAAAAATCATTGAACCTGGTTGATTGTATTTAACGCCTATTGCTCTGGTTTCATGCCTAGTTTACGGTTTAATATTGTTTGCTTTGCATAGGATAAAACATCTCTGCCATATGAACCAGTTTACAGTGATGCACACGCAAGGTATATTTTTGTGATTAAATGGTTAATGAAGAGCACATTTCTTATTGTTACGCTCGTGACTGCTACTATTCAATAGGATGTTTTATGTTCTTTCATGGGTGATATTTACTGTACCATTTTATGCTTGGAGCTGCATTGAGACAAGCCCTAATATGATTACATATTTTGGGTCTTGCTTCCAGTTTTCTTTCCGAGTACAGATTTGATATCTCAAAGTTGGAGCCATTGGTGGCTAAGGTGGGTATCTCATAAAAGTCGCTTTTAATTCGATCTTCATTGTTGCCTTCTTCTCTTGTGCATGTCTGTCTGTACATTGAACTGATTTCTTAATGTATTTTGCAGCCACATTCTCCTGATAATCGTGCATTGGCAAGAGAATGCGAAGACGTTAAAATCGACAGAGTATATATTGGATCTTGTACTGGTGGAAAAACCGAAGATTTTCTTGCTGCTGCTAAAGTCTTTGTAGCTTCGGTAAGAATCATACATTCTAATTCCTAATGCCAGGAGCTATAGCTAATATTAAGTTGCGTCAGAAAAACTTTAGTTTGCTTGACCTGCAGGGGAAGAAGGTCAAAGTTCCCACATTCCTTGTACCCGCTACACAGAAGGTGTTTGCTCGATATCATTAATAATTAAAAAATTATTCGATTTGCAATTAGAATCAAGTAAAGATAGAAGAATGTGTGTATTAACTCGCTAAAGCTGGCAGGTTTGGTTGGACTTGTATACTCTCCCTGTACCCGGATCTGGTGGGAAGACGTGCTCTCAGATTTTCGAAGAAGCTGGCTGTGATACACCTGCCAGCCCTAGCTGCGGCGCTTGTTTGGGTGGCCCTAAAGACACATATGCACGTATGAATGAACCGAAGGTAATTATTTTTCTTCCCCAGTGTACCTTCAAGAACGTATCATTTGTTTTCGTTTTCCCTGAAGTACCCATGCTCAACATATATTCGAACATGCGTATTAGAG